GCCAATAAACTAGACAGTTTTTAGGTGGTTTTTAGACAGTTAACACGTTGTCAACTGGCAGTTTTTAGGCAGACTGTAAACTGGCAGTTAATGAGCAGTTTATTGCCCGTCTTTTTTCTCCTGGGTACCTAACTGCAAAATCAAAACTTCGAACACGTTTTCCGTTTCTTGCTTGGACACTTTGTTGAAAACGGGGAGAAATTTTTGAAATTTCGGTTTCCAGCACACCATCTGCTTTAAAACTTCTTTTTACAGACCACGAGAAAGAGCATATTCAAAAGTACAAAAAAGAACCTAGTGCTCACTTTTGGTACACTTTTTGCGGAAATGATAGCAGAAGAAAACAGTTCAAGTCGAAAAAAATACCAAATATACGAAGTTTTCAGTTTTTCCGCCTTTCGTATAATTTTCGTAGTTCTCTTGATTGAAGTTGTAAAACTAAAGTTTGTGTATGAATTTGTAGAGTATTTCGTGGCGCATCTTTTAAAAATAACACTAATCTTAGGATCCTAAAGGGATACGAGAAAAAGAGAAAGTACTAAGAGGCTCATTCATTACGACGCAGTCGATAGAAACCTCCATAATTCCACAGCTAATAATCATCATACAGAATATCAATTATACTCATCAATCCTATTTTCGATGAGCTTTCATTTGGCATATAATTCGTTTTGATATCATTTGTCGTTTGAGCTGTACCCCCCTTGAATAATATTATTTTCCACCCTGTATATACCAAGACTTGAAACTATACATACAAATAAAGCGACACTAATAATATATTTCGAAAGACACATTCATCAAAACATATATTTAGAAAGGCACATTCACCAAAACATTCGAATTGACGAAAAAACGACATGCGGTTCTTCATCTTTAAATTTGTCGAAGCATATTTTACAATAATTTTTCTCAAGATCCAATCGTTCATTTGGTTTTCTGTATAAACGACCAAAATAATTCTAAATAAATGATGGTTTTGGAGTATTAGGTGGTTTTATTTGAATAAACAGATTTTTGATGAAATAATCAGTATGGTCCATGTCAGGTGAAAATTTTAAATATATTATAAAAATCAAATAAAAATGAGTGAGGTTATTAATACGATTTCATTATTGATGAAATATGATTGATGAGTCATCATTCATACAAACAAGCAAAAAGATTGCTTGAAAGTGCAACCAATAAGATATCAAGTAAAAAACTTGAAGAAAAATTTCGAACTTTATCCTAGGTGGTGTCGGCGGCCGCGACTGATATTTTTAAAAATTTCCATTAGTAACGGCGGCGGCGCGGCTGCCCTTTCTTTAGCTCAGTGGCGCCGGCTGAGAACTTTTTAAAATTTTCTTTGGTGGCGGCGACGGCTAAGCCGCGCGGCTTACACCACTATGCACATCCGAACATACGTTGAAAGCGTTTCTATACTCCCAGACAATACCCTGCGGGGTTGATGCTCATGAATGATTCATTCATTTTGTTGTATCTTATGGGGAGAATGTAAATTATTGTACAAATCAACGAAAAAGAAACGATATCGAAACATTATATCAATATTTTCCGTTCGAAATCCTTCGTTGATCATTCGATAAAAAAGACCATCACGCGTGTACCATTTTATAGCTGTATCAGAATTGTATTCTTCTTCAAATTCAGTTATCAATTTTTCTTCACTTAGTCTGTATTCAGGTCTTGATCGTATATCATTCAAAAATTCTTGTTTTTTTAGTTGATACGTGTTTAACGCGATATTTAATAAAACTGCAATAATTATTTTGAAGCGTATTGATTCAACATTCACTCCCGATTTGTTTGACTCACTCAAATTATTAAATGTGTTTTGTTTTGTAAAGATTAACATCGATCTTATAGGTTTTCTTAGGTAGTGTTTTGTGTCAACTGCTAACTGGCGTAAAAGTGTATTCATATCATTGTAAACTTCCGGAACGTTGACTGAACTCAATGATTGTTCAACCCTAGCACAGTAAGTGTAGGTCTTGGCCAGTTGAGGTAAATCAGAAATCATTGCAGAGAAAAACGGGTCATACTTTCAAATGTTAGTTTTTAGTGATTTCTAGCGAAAAAGCTTTGTCAGCTGGTATTTCCGAGATCATACGATCTTTCAAAAAAAGTACATGAATCATGCATTCGCACTACAAATTGGCAAA